CCCCAAAACCCCAAAACCCCAAAACCCCACTAGTGAAAATTGTAATATATTTTTTAATTTATATTTAAAGTAAAATTAATTGAGCAAGTTATGATGAAAAGTAAAATTCCTTTAAGTAAATTTTTGAATTCAAGTAATCGGATCTAAAACCCGAAAATGTTTATTCTCCGTCATCTCCTAAACGAATCATTCTTGTGTGTATTAGAAGATGCTATAGTAGCCAATAGGGATTTAGTAGTGGCATTTCTACAAATGTATTGCTAGTATTGAGATTTGAATTTTTATTCAGCTTCTTGTCTCTTTTATTGAATGCTAGCTCTAATCATCTAAGTCAAACTAGTATTACCCCCAGAATTAGAAGTCAAATTAATTGATGTTTCTGTCTCATTAAATATATGGCTTCCAGGAGATTGAGTATCAGTAGTACTTATAAGTGTGGAGCTATTCTCAATAAAATTTGAAAGACTCATTTTTTCCCTTTAACCTTGACATTTGTTCAAAGGGTTTTTCTTATGCAAGCTAACTGCAATAGATTCCCTAATCTGATTGATAGATTCATGTCTTTGTTTTCTTGTCACACTACTTGGTATGTAATCAGTATTAGATCTTTGCTTCACACTCTACACACTCTACTTAGGTGAAAGCACTGGAGTAACTAGCAACTAAGATAGTATTATGTCCTTATTAGCCATCTTGGCATCATTTTCAACTTTAATTGGCGTCTTAATGGTCATGTTGGGGTTTTTATCTGAAACACTCTTCCTCTATTGAATATTTCTTAACAATGAGTAAAGCATTGACTCTTTTTATACAAAAGGCCCCTTGACTTTCTTGTTTTTATACTAGGATTGAGGATTATATGTAGACTTAGTTTTCTTTTTTCTCATGGCATCCTCTCTAAATAGGACAATTTCATCATCTTCCTCATCAACATACTCCTCTATTTCGACCTCTCTGATCATCTCAGCATCAAATTCGCATTAAGAGGACACAAAACTGAAATTATTCCTTAACGACAAATTATTCATGATGTTAATATTTTCCTGGTCAATGTTCTTTTTTGGAGTATCATTAGATTCACTCGTAATTTGTTATGTATTTCTAGGCACTAGCTTTTATAGATGATTATTAGGGGTGGGTGTAATGCATAACTAGGGCTACTATTAGTTACTTTATTTATTAGATTGCTGCTACTCTAATTAATAGTATAAATTGTGATTGGATAGTCTTGATTAATAATAGGAAATCGAATTCTTTTACGGGGAATTCAATGAAGACTTCAAGCAACTCAAATCGACTAGTAGACGTTAATATAATTTATGATATTACCTATTTTAGAGAAGTTGTCGTTAGATATCTCATTAGATTCCTCATAAATGATATCATCAATAGTGAGAGTCTTAATGTCTATTCTAGGCTGTTTTTGCGTCTGCTGTGTTTCCCTCGTTTCCTCATCTAAATGAATTTACCATAAAACTAATCTTACATATCGATATTATTTGATAGTCTTCATTTATACTCACTTTTTCATCAGGGGAAGCTTATGTTGGCATATATTCTAAATTCAAACATCATTCTTTAAACTTATTGAATTTGCTTTTTATTTAAGCATGATAGAGTTTTTAAATTTTACCTTATATTTTCATTTTAATCAGCTTAGGCTGTCTAATCTCATTTTAAGTCAAGACTTTCTTAGATTGACTTTATTTGGGGCATTGAACTGAGGGTACTACTTTTTTGATGTTTTTGACAGTTGCTGGTTTTTGCAAGGAGTCAAGATATTTAGCTTAATGACTTACAATGACTTTGTTCATATTTATTTATCAAATTTTCCGCTTTAATTAATTATCTTTCATTTAAAATTCAATGATTATTTGAACTGACTCTGATGGGGTTTTGGGGTTTTGGGG